GTAAGTCCCCAAATAATCAATATTGGGCAGTTTTTTCTCCTCCTGGAATGATCAGTGTAGAAAATAACTTTCTGATTCAGAAACTTTTAGAGTTAACACCAGAAGTCATCCATAACATGAGAGAATTACATCAAGAGAGGATATGGGGCCCAGAGAAGTAGAATAGTCCGCCCAGGGTCACTTAGGTGGGAAGTTAAGAGTTGGGACCACATACTCCCTGGGTCTTCTGATTTCTTTTGAAAAGGATTCCCAACAATCTTTTGGGAATCACAATATGAATCCAGAGTAATTAATGGTCCTGATGGAAATTCTCCTTGAGTTGTTCTCTCTTTTATCTCTAACATGACACCTTGAGGCCAGTGTATAACAAAGTGAAATTCATTCTAGAAGGAAAATGCTTGACTGATTCCATTCATTGTCAAGGTCAAGTGCAGAATCCATGAGAACAGAACAACAAACAAGTGAGTGAATGAATATATACATATGTGTATGCATATAAAAGTACATAAATTAAAAGAAGAAATGTTGTTCTTGGTTTGAAACAGATCAGCCTTAGTCATGGCAAACACCATCAAAACACTTGGTTCCTCGTTCCCTAGGCAAAATCTCCATTTCTATCAGAGTTTTAATAGTAAGAAAATGTGATTCCTAAGTTATTGAGGCAGATGGCTTTCATAGAGCTTACTGGCCAAATATCCTGCTGTATTCCACTATACAGTATCCAAGTCACTTACCCCATAGGGCACCAAGCAAACAATCTATTACTTTCAAGTGTCATTGAATCTCTGCTTTTGCTTTTCTTTGTTATTTCTCACAATGAATACCAAGGGCAAGGACTTAGCACTCCACATGCAGGCCCTCAATGTTAATCAATGACTTCCTTTAAGCACCAACATAAACCCTGGCTTGTGCACAGGCAAAGAAGAAACAGACATAGCAATGACGCAGTAGCCTTGGTTCCACTTAGTTGATGGAAAAGAATAAAACAGGCTTGCTCTTGGAGATAAAAGTAAGATGGTATTTTCCCAATGGGGAGGAAATAAAGATACTGACATGCTTAGGAAACAAACAAGAGCGTTGCCGTGTGCTAACGCAGTAGGGTGACCTGCAGGGGTGGGGAATGTCAGTCCTTAGGGGCCTCCTACTCCAGCTGCTCTCTAGTCATAATACATTGTGATTTTTGGGAATCCTTCTTGGGTGTGTGTGTGTGTGTTTGTGTGTGTGTGTTTGTATGTGTGTGTTTGTGTGTGTGTATTTGTGTGTGTGTATGTGTGTGTGTGTTTGTGTGTGTGTGTGTGTGTGTGTGTGTGTATTTCAGGGTGTCTGGAGCGAGCTGACCAGGAGAAGCTGATGATTTCCTAAAGGCACATACACTGTGCTTGACAAGGTCAGCTCCTCTGCATTCCCATGCTGTGCTGTGTTGGCTTTCTTTATTCCCCAAGGATCCCAACAAGGTCTGAGCCTGGGGATGAGTTGAGCTAACTAGGCTCAACTTTGGAATGGAAAAAGATGGCTACTGCCTAGAATTCTTCCCACAAAATCACTGATCTGCAAACCAAAGGTAACCATGAGCCAAAGGCTGCTGTTGAGTGGCTCAGCTTTTGTGTATTTCTCCTTTTATAGCCCATTCTTCACTCAGAGCCTCATGCCTTAGAATGTACCCATCCAGAGAGCAGCTCTGGGCAAACCATTGTCCTTGTCTCCTTTTCTCTCTCAGCCTCCTGCAGTGGCCCACGTGTTAACCAAAATGTCATGTGCAGGGCAAATTTTATTTCAGAGAATTCCATTTATTGAACTATGTTCAGGGCTATTGAAATTTCATGGAAGGAGGTGAATATCAAAGTTTTCTTTTCTCGAGATGTTATAGAAATGACAGAAAACATGACTCTGAAAGAATTTGGTGTTTGAGAAAAAAAGAATGGAACAACATTAGGGAAAAGTTTCACTTGGTGGCCCTAGAAGAGAGATGGGCGGTGAGGGCAATGGTATTACTGACAATCACCCATAACCCAGATGCAGCACCAGACAGTTTACAAGAGACTTACACATATTAACTCACTGAGCTTCACAACCACCCCTGTTATGGATGAAGCGTGGCGAGGTTAAGTGACTTGCCCATGTTCCCACAGCTAGTAAATATTGGGGGGAAAGGGTGCTAATTGGAACTTAAGTTGCTTCTGACTCCAAGCTCAGCACAAATAGGTAGCTCAAAAACTGACTCCTCGTGCTAGTGAGTAGAAGGGTGGTTCATCTAAAGCTAAGCTAGTTGATTCCCTTGGTGACTGCTGCTGCTGCTGATAATGAGGAGAACAACACTGAGATTAACTTCCATCTATAGCACTCCCCTCACAGCAGTCTTGTGTACTAGCAAATCTAAGAATTCTCATCATCATTTTCCTGATGAGGACACTGGAGGTCCGAGAGGTGAGTTGACTTAGATGGGGTTCCACCTTGGGCTTCCATGACTTTGTCCACACTATTCCCCATGCCTGATATGTTCTCCCTCCTCCCTTCTGCTTCTCAGAGCCCCCAGCTCCCTCCAGGGCTCAGCTCACATACTAATTCCTCTGCATTATGGATTTTAGAGTTGGAAAGGTCTGAAGAGGTCAGAGAATCCACCTCCTTGATTTTATAGGTAAGGAAACTGAGGGTCAGAGAATTGATTTGCTGCCTATGGTTATATAACTAGTGTCTGAGGTGGGATTTGAACCCAAGTCTTCCCATCTCCAAGCCCATCACTCTGTCCACTACAGCTTGCTGCTTTTTGTGATTCTTCAAAGTTGTTAGTCTCTACCTCACCCCTACTTGGACCAAGTCACTCAGCATTTAGTACTTTGGAATATACTGGATTTTCTGGTGTGGGAACATGTATCACCCTAGAAGAATGTGGGCTCCTTGAGGGCAAGGACGGTCTCACTTTTGCATCTATATCCCTAGGACTTAGGGCAGTGCCTGGCACATAGTAGGCACTTTCCACTAATGGCTTTGATTAATTGATTCTGTTTACCCTTTAAAAACTCAAGTGTCTGGTACCTCCCTCCTTCAATTCAGTCACCTCTGAGGCTTCCACCAGCTCTCAGTCAATGATCTGCTGCTTTTATTCTAATGCAGATTGGCCCAAAGTCAGGTAACCATTGGAAATCTGGCCCTCTTTGGCCCTGTGGCCACATTTATTTCAATCTGGCAAATTTCTGTCATAGTCATGAATCTGAGTACTCAACGATCTTCCCCGCCCTCTGCTGGATATTTGCAGTAATGGCTCCCTCTTACTTGGAAATAACAGAAGCGAATGATAATGCCTTAACTCTGCAAGAAAGATCATGAGATCACAAGTGGCCAGTAGAGCTGGAGGGGATCTGCTCGAAACATCACCTAACAAACCCTTCCATTTTCATCCGGGGGAACTGAGGCTTAGAGAGATCAAGTGATTTGCCCAAGATGGCACAACTTGGAAATTGCAAACCAAGAAGTCAAATTCCTATCTCATGACTCCCAATTAAGCATTCTCTCTAGTGTTTTCAGCTCCATACAAAGCGGGCCCTGAATTGTCAGGGGAGCCTGCCCACGACTCAGGAGATAGGAAACATTATAGATGAAGTTCAGTCTGAAAGTAAGACTGACCGAGAAGGGGCATAACAAAGTGGATTCTAGAGATGAGAAGTCATCAGTACAGCAAATACAAACCCAATCCTAGCTTTCAGAATACTTTTAAAAGTTATAATTTTACAATCCAGGGGGAGAATTTTTGGACTTTTTTATAGACTATCTTCCAAGGACTTAAAACATCCCCAATGCTAAATTCCTGCCATTTCATTTCTCTGTCTGAGAAGCGGAGCAATTTGTGTCTCACAGAACAGAAAGGAAGCCTGGTGCAAAAGTTCTAGTCAAGGAAAGCCCACTGCAGCTGGCTGAAAGATCCCCCCTGTACTGTTTGACAAGGAAGGGTCTCTAGAGAAACCCTGGTGGGGGAAGGGAGGGGGAAGAAACAGACTCTTTCTGAGCTTGCTTTCATGGAAGTCTACAAACAAATTGTGTCCTCTCAGCCCCATTGCCACTCACAGCCAAAGCCCAGTGGTCAATAATCCCCTCTGATCCCAGATGTGCCTGTAAGAAGAAACACAGCTCAGGGAGAGAGGGCTGTCCTGGTTCTCAGCTAAATTGTATCTTGCTTAATAAATGGAATACATTTGCTCAAAGCCAAAAGAAGAAAAACAAATACTCTTTTCTGGTTTTTTTTTTTTTTGTGAAGAAACCTTATCATTGGTAGGCTCAAATTTGTTAAATTAACAGAATGCTTCATGGGTTTGTTAATTTAATTTTATTTTTTGGCTTGTTTTTCAGTAGATTGTACCCTCATGGGACAAGTCTGTCCAAACTTTACAAACAGAGACATTGAGGTACAGGAAGATGTCACTTGCCAAGAATAGCACCTGACGTAGGAGTGAGGTCTCCCCCCCCCCCACTTGCCATGCTTGACTGCAAGCTGCCTTTCCAGTCTTATGATTCTGTTACTCTCTCAGACCCGGCTAAACTAGCCTTCTTAGCATTTTTTTCACAGATAACACTTCATTCCTCATCTCTGTGACTTTGCAGAGGCAGTTTCTCCTGCCTCCTCACCTGAACTTCTTGGAATCTGGGGTGTCCTTCAAAGTTCAGTTCAAATGCCACCTGATCTCCTCAGCCTCTAGTGCCCTCTCCTGCCCCATCATTTTGGTCTCTACTAATATTGTCCTCCCCCTGAGAGGAAATAAATTAGAGGGCAGGACCAGTCTTACTTTGGTATCAGCACATTGCCAGGGACTGGGCATCCTTTTTTCTCTTTGTCCTCTTTGGGGCCATGTAAGATGAAGAGCCACATTTGAAAATGAGACCTGTGTCCATGATGTCAGCCCCTAATGGGGTCTGTACTAAGAAGTCAGAAAATGGAAGCTTGACCTTTCAATGGGTTGGCTATTGCAGGGAGTATAATGACCTTTTGTCCTTACAGAAAATGCTCTGGATTATAATCTGCTTGTTTTCTGAGCATCTTCATAGGGAGGTGGGGGTCCCAAAGGGACAATACAGGATGGAGAATACAGCTCAGGGTATGGGGAATGGAGGTCACCTCTTGCTGCTGGACCCATGACGGCTTCTCTGCCTGGAAAAACAAAGATGGAGTGCAGTGACCTTTCTATGCAGCACAGAACAGAACTGTGTCATCCACCCATTGATATCTGCCCCTTTTTGGACTAAGGGAGAAATAGAAAGTTATGTGCAGCAATATTTCACACACGCGCGCACACACACACACACACACACACACACACACACTACCCTTAGCTGGAATAATTTACTTCCTGGAATGTGTGATGGGAAATTCAGGAAACATTTACAATTTAATAGCCCAAACTAGAGATCCCATCAACACTGGTAGCTATAATGTCCTAACATGTGAGAAGCCAAGGTACTTCTACAAATGGCTTCATTCTGGGAGGCAAAGGTTCAGCAAAAGAGAGGTCCCTGGCTTCCTGGCTTTTTTTCTGCTTGTCTTTTCTTAATTTGTTATTCATTCATTAATTCCAATGGATAGTACTGATGACTTTCAAGCCCTTTCTGATGTTAAAATGTAACCTAAAGGCTAAGTTGAATTCTATTTTGAATCTATAGAGTTTCACAATAAAGTTCAACTATATTGGGGGGGTAGGCACTGTGAGATCATGATCTCATTATCTCATTAGATGTTGTTTTCAATCAGAATTCTTTTCTCCCAGGACAGATGATAAGAAAGAAAGCAGAAAATTGGGAAAATACACTGGAATTGATGCAACCAAAGGAGGTTTTCCCACTTCAAAATAGTCCCTTTGGGAGGTTCCACACTTATTTCCATGATGGTGATATTTTATGAACTTTTGTTTTTAAACCAACTGTTACATAATGCTTTAAAGATTACCAAGCACTTTTTTGTTATTCTGAACTTGGTAAACAAAAAAAAAAGCATTTCCATAAATCAATAGATAGATAGATAGATAGATAGATAGGTAGGTAGGTAGATAGATAGATAGATAGATAGATAGGTAGATAGATAGATACACAGATAGATTGGCAGAAAAATCAACCGACAGACAAAAAGTAGGTCTACATGACTTTTGGACACCTCCAGAAAAAAATCCATTCATCGCAGATTGACACTAGTGTAGTCTCTGAAGGTAGTTCAAAAAAGGAATATACTAACGATGGTGATGATGATGATGATAGTGGTGGAAGTGGTGGTGATAATAAACACTTATGCTGGGCACAGCCAAGATGGCAAAGGCAGGCATTCTTAAGATCTCTCCCAACATTTCCCTTTAAACAACTTTAAAATAACATTGCATATTAAATTCTGGAGTGGAAGAGCCAATAAAAGGTCAGGATGAAACAATTTTCCAGCCCAAGACAAATTAGGAGGTCAGCATGAAAGGTCTGTCATACCAAGGCAGTGGTCGGGCCCACAGTGCAATGCAGATCTCACCCTGGCAATGCCAGCAGCAGGTGCTAGAGGCAGCTGCAACAGAGGCAGAAGCAGTTTTGGGAAATCTCATCCCACAGACAGTAAGGGGGTCAGACAACTACTCAGAAAGAGATAAAACAAATAAAGGAAAAAGGACCTATTTGTACAAAAAGATATTTATAGCAGCTATTTTTGTGGTGGTAAAGAATTGGAAAATGAGGGCATGCCCATCGATTGTGGAATGGCTGAACAAGTTGTCTTATATGATCATGATGGAATACTATTGTGCTATAAGAAATGATGAGCAGGATACTTTCAGAAAAAACTGGGAAGACATCGTTCATTGTTCATCTTTTGTTTTCAAAGAGAACCAATGACATCACAGGGGGTCAATGATATCATGATGTCTTGATTTATGTATGAATTGGATTTAAATGAGGCAGAGTTGTACAAAGCCATCAGCCTCACTCTCTCTTCCAGAGTCATCGAAGTGCAGTGGCAAAAAAAAGTCAGGATGATTGGTGAGGTCCAAGATACAGTGGATGACCTTGGCATCTTTGATGTCTGACCGAGTTCTAAAGCAGCACCTGTTTCAGATGCGTTCATGGCTGTTGGAACAAATTGGTTTCATCCACCTATTCTTCCTTGTTGAACTCTTCACATGCTTAGGGTAGACGTCCCCCAATTCACCAATGGATTTGAGGCCTGTCGGTTACCCTCAACCTGGTTTAGCCTGTGTGCTGAGATGGCGTATGGGGTGTTCAGGATGACTAGAACCTCTGGTGTGAGTACTTGTCGAGCCCTTTTCCAGGCTACTCATCTACCTTTGGTGTTCACCTGCCACCCAGCTCTCATTTGTGGCTTAAGAAGCTATAACATGTGCAGCAGCCGCTCCCCAGAGGACTTATATGAACCTATGCAAAGTGAAATGAGCAGAACCAGGAAAACAGTTGTACACAGTACACAGTACACAGCTTCTTGTCTTCATCCATTACTATTGATGATATTCCCCAGTATTATTGTACACAGTAGCAGCAATAATGTTCAATGATGAACTGTGAATGACTTAGCTAATCTTAGCAATACAATGACCCAAGACAATTCTGAAGGATTTATGATGAAAAAATGCTATCCATCTCTGGAGAAAAAATACTGACAATCTGAATGCAGATCAAAACATACTTTTAAAACTTTATTTTCTTGGGTTTTTGTTTTTGTTTTTGCAACATAGCTAATATGGAAATACATTTTGCATGATTTCACATGCATAATCTATATCAAATTGTTTGCCTTCTCTGAAAGGGGGGAGGGGGAGAATTTGTAATTTAAAATTGAAAAAATGTTAAATTTTTAAACATGTAATAGAGAAATATTTATAAGAATTATATATATACATATATAATATATATATGTATATGTATATAATATATACATATATATGTGTATATATATGAAGAAAATAAGGACACAGAGAAATTAAATTACTTGCCTAAGGTCGTACAATCAGGAAGTGTCCAAGGTAGAAATTGAACTCAGGCTCTAACCCTCTACTTGTGTCACCACTTAATTGACTAGTTGCTGCTCAGTTTACCAAGTGAAGCATGGTTCAAATAAGTGCATAGTCTCCTATGGTGACTACCTTGAAGGAGACAACACTCATTTGTATGTTTAAGATTATTGTCTATTTGTGAAGAGAATCAGTCATATGACTGACCTTACAGTTCCACAACATTTTTAAGCTTCTCTGTCCTCCAAGAAAACAGTATCATCATTCATATTGAGACATAGGCAGGAGAATGGCAAGTCAAGGGCTAACAGGAGAGGCCTGGGGTATGGCCAAGCTCAGTAACTTGTTGTAAATTCCCAGTTCATTATTCTCCTGAGGACACATCAATAATTAGGTAATGGAGAATTAAGGAAATAGGGAACATCTAGATAGTGCCCAATTGGCAATTGGCAAGCTTACACTAATATGAAGGTGTCTTCAAGGATCATTTGACTTAGAATGAGAAGGGATTTCTGCCTGAGTCCCTTCATTTTTCAGAGGAAACTGAAGCCCAGTGGAGGAAATTGCCCAAGATCATGTAGGCCAAAAGTTGAAGAGTCTGGATTTGAGTCCTCTGAGTTCAGATCTGGGGATGTTACCGTGGCTGTCTCATTACAGGCTAATACTGAGAGCCAAGCTGTACATCATTCCTTGGCCACATATTCGGTGATAGCTTACTTTTAACTTCTCCTGAAGTTACTGTGTTGTTCTGTGGAACAGCCCCAGGTGTGTTCAATGAAGAGTCGATGGCGATGGTGATGGAATTAGTTGTCTGGGGAGGAGTCGTTGGTCCAAACTGCCTGGAGCTTCTTGTCTTCATCCATTACTATTGATGATATTCCCCAGGCAATCAAACCCTGATAATTGTTCTCAGTTGAGAACATTCTTTATTGTTCTCCCCTTCATACTAATTTAGTGTCTATGCTTAAATTTACAAGGAAACCAAAGCTGCAGGGGAAAACAAAACAAAACAAAAAAACAGAACAGAAAAACAACAAGCAAACATAAAATGAGAATGGCAGCTTGCAAAATAACTCTGCACCCGATGATGCCACTATTGCCTCTTGTCCACTTGTCTCAAAAATCTTCGATAGAAGGAATTGGTTTCCTTGCGAAGTGTGACATTCAAGAGGGTCTGAAGGGTTGTGAAGGAGATGGTATAATATGCACAGTTCTTCTTCTTGAGATCCTGTCCTTGGGACCCAACTTGGGCTTTCCTATTTCTGAGCTTTGGCTCATAAGGATCTTGTTTAGATGTTCACTCCCTTCTTTTTGCATTGCCCAAATCTTCATAGAAGGAGTCATGGGAGAACTTCCCCACATTATTTTAATTCACTTACCAGGCCTGTGAGATTTGTTTTAGAAGCATCGATTGTCCATGAGTTGGGTACTGATGTTATCACTGGAATAGTTGGACAAAAGGTAGATTAAGTCTTAGTGGCTGGGTATGGCTCCAAGTGAATCAGTTGGCTGGAAGGCATAACTTGGTAAGTTCTAGGGAGTGGATCTTCAGGGATTGGGGCTGCCCCCAAAGAACTCTTGAGCAATCCTTAGTAGGTGGCTATTTAACCTTTGTTCGAAGATCTCTAAAGCGGGGAGACTGCTCACTTCCTCCCAGGCAGCATTTCCACTTTTGTTTTGCTCAGATTGTTGGTAAATTCTTCCTGACCTCAAGCCTAAGCCTGACTTTTTGCAATAGCACTGCTCTCCATTGTTCATAGTTTTGTGTTTTGTTACTCAGTAGAATAAATCTAATCTCTTTCCTGCATGGCAGACATTCAGAACTTAGAGGATCCCTGGATCACAAATCTAGTCCAGGTAGGAGCCACCTTAGAGATCATCTTGTTCAACTTTCTCATTTTATAACTGAGTAAACTAAGTCCCAGAAGTTTGGTCTGCCCAAAGTCACTGAGGCAGTAAGAGGTGGAGCTTAGTTTTGAATTCAGGTCACATGACTCCAAATTCAGTGTTTCTGCCACTTGAAGGAGCTAACACCTCCCCTCTCCCCACGCCCCAGTCTTTTCCTCTCCAGAAGAAGCATCTGCTTCCTTCAATTGCTTCTCATATGGTATGATCTTGGGACCATCCCAATTCTCATTAACCACCTTAGAAAGTTCTATAACTTAGCTCTCATCATTGGTTGTCAATTCTACCTCAGCTCTCTCTTATATCTTCATTTCCATTCACAGTGAAATCACCTCTTATATTTTAGTGTGGCTCTTGTAACATTCCAAGGAGCCCTCAACTGTTTGAAATCAGGGTATTAGACCACGTGGCCACTGAGTTACCTCTAAATCTGCAGCCCACTGGCCTACGATCTATGAGCCTTCCCACCTCCAGCTCTCCCCTCTGAAGTTTACTCTTTGCATAACTTCCTGAACAATCTTCCTGACATACGGATCTGCTCCCATGACTTCTTTGGTTTTTGTTGGTTTGTTTGTTTTGTTTTTGTTTTGACGAGGCAATTGGGGTTATGTGACTTGCTCAGGGCCACACAACTAGAAAGTGTCAAGTGTCTGGTCTGAGATCAGATTTGAACTCAGGGCCTCCTGAACTCCAGTGCTGGTGCTCTATCCACTAGGCCACCTAGCTGTCCATACCATGACTTCTTAACTCCAAAACATTCACTGGCTCCTGAATGACTATGGAAGAAAGTATGATCTTCTGATCCTGCTATCTGGAGACCTATCCCATCTGGCTCTGGTCTTCTTATATAACTCCCCATTTACGAGCTCTGCACCCTGGCCCAATTAAATATTAACCACTCCATTCTTGCCCTGGCCTTTCCAACTTCTGGGTATTCACCTACTCCTTACTCCCCTATGCCTGGAATGGACATCTCCCTTCTCCAGCTTCACTTGCTGAAGCCCCTTTTGTCCTTCAGAGTCCAACTCAGAGGTAACCTTTTACACGCGGTTCCTTGATCTTATACCTTAGCCCCCACCTTTAACTGCCAGTCATTTCACATTCTCACAAGACTTGGTCTCAATTTTTCCTTTGCAGTTACCTGAAGCTCTTCTGTTTTAGTTATTCACTTGCATGATTATCAGCACCTTAAGGGGACAGAACACAGACCCTATCCATCTTTGTCCTTGTGGTAGCTCACATGGTGCCTTCCTCAGAGCAGGCAGCTAATTATCTCTAGTGAAATGAATTGAAATGCCATGCCAGGCCTCTCATTAGTGGTAGGTTTCCAGAACATTAAGCATTTTAAAATGGTGCCTAAATTGATATATTGTGAGGCCTTTGGTAAATAGATTTAGTCAGGGAAGAGTGAAAGAGCATTGGGTTGGGAGTGCAGGAGACCGGACCTGAACCCTCTCTCAGCCATACCTGGACACTGAGGGCAGTAGTCTTAGGCAAATCATTTTACTGGATAGGGCCTTAGTTTCCTCATCTATAAAATGAGAAGGCTAGACTCAATGATCTCTAAAGTCCTGTATGCAATGAAAAGTAGTGACCTGTGAGGGGATTTCTGGGCTCTTTCCCTCTGGGGACAGAAGCTGGGTGTCAATGATGGAGAATGACTCCTATCTGCTCACCTTTCTCATCTTCCAAGTATCTGTCCTTCAGATAACCCTTTAGGAATAAACCTCTTGTCCCATAGGCCTATGGGAAATCACATCATTACCCACAATGCCCCAACAGTGGTCAACTCAAAGAAAAGAAGCCCCAAGACACACCAGAAATGGACTGGATATCATTGGCAGCAAACACTGCCACAGCGCGCCGAGGGAGACAGGGGTGAGACCTCTTCAGCCAGTGGTGGAGGCAGACCAGGACCGTGCAGCATATGATGGTGATCAGAATGATTAGCATCAAGCACCTGAAACCAAAGGGAGCACAGGAGAGTAGTAGGGAGAAAGCAGCTGAGAGTCCTCACAAAGGGGAACAGTCACCCAGCCCATGTGCCATTCAATGCTTCTGAAACTCTGACCAGGGAGCATCCTTACCAGATGGAGCAGCCACTGAAGGGTTGTTCATCTTGGCCCACACACCTGTTAAACCGAGGAGAGAGATGTCAGGCTTCGAGACTGGCAGCAGACACTAGGACTGAATGCCAAATGGCGTTATCCCTGGGCAGAATCCCAGCTTCAGAGCTGGAAAGGTGAGTGCTAGGAAGCCACCTAGCCTAACCTCTCATTTTACAAATGAGAAAACGGAGGCACTGAACAGAGCAGAGACTTGCACAAGGTCACATAGACAATGAATGGCAGTGCCAGAGATTTGTGAGATCTTAGATTTAGAGCCGGGAAAGTTTTCAGAAGCCATCACTTCAACTTGCTCACTTTCCATGTATGATATATAAATATATATGATATATAAATATGTATATTATATAAATATATATGTGAGATATATGTGTATGTGTGTGTGTGTGTATATGTGTGTATATGTGTGTGTGTGTATAATATATATATATACATATATTATATATATATGTATATACAGAGAATATCCAGGTCATCTAGATAGTTGCTGAGGGAAGGGGGAGGGGAGGAGGGGGGAGTCAGGACAGGCTGTATTTAAAAAAAATGGTGTTTGAAATGAGTCTTGAAGGAACCCAAGGATTCTCAGAAGTGAAGGCAAGGAAAAAGAATATTCCAGGTATAGGAAATAAGAAGGGCAAAAACTTGGAGAGGGGAGATTAAGCGTCACTGCAAGTAAGCCTATGACTGAATCATAGAGTCTAGGAAAGGCAGTCACATGCTAGAAAACTGAAAAAAGCAAGAAGGGACCAACTTATGAGAAATTATATATGCCAAGTGGAGGAGGTGATAATTTGATTCTGCAGATAATAGAGACCCATTGAAACAATAACAACAATAATTTTAATAAGTGGGGTTCTACAATCTGACCTGAAAATTGGGGGAAAATCACTTCAGCAAGTGGATAGCAAATGAAGTGGGCAACTCCACAGTGAGGCAGATGATCAGAAAGACAGTTGCAATGAAAGAGTCAAGACATGATGAGGGCCTCAGTATGGGTGGTAGTGATGTGAATAAAGAAAAGAAGACACTAAGAGGCATGTTGTAGAGATAGAAATGACATGGTTTGGCAACTGGAAGTGGTCAGAGATTCCTGCTTGTAGCTTATCCTTGGAGGGACCAATTGGTAGGTCTGCCCTAAAATTCAACCACCACACCTGTTATTCTGCAATTAGGGTTCTATTCCTTTTAGTCTTAAAGGATTTCTAATGACCTTGGTGGATTAAAATTACATGGAAAATCTCCTGGAGCTATGGGTCAAAAGCAGAAGAGCAAATTGTTTCTTGGTTTACCTTGATGACAATTTCCTCTTTCAAAAGGTGGAGAAACCATGAGATTCACATTTCTGGACCCATTTCCCACCTCCAGGTAGGAAGTGACTGCTTGGTTGTAAATGAGAGGAGCTATGGGGGAAGTTGCCATTGTTGTTGTATGAGTCTTCATGACCCTATTTTGGGGTTTTCTGGGCAAAGCTACCAGAGTGGTTTGCCGTTTCCTTCTCCAGTTCATTTTATAGATTAGGAGGTGACACAAACAGTGTTAAGTGACTTGGCCAGTGTCACACAGCTAGTAAGAGTCTTGAGGCTGGATTTGAACTCACGAAGAAGAGTCTTCCTGACTCCAGGCTCAGTGCTCTATCCATTGCACCACCTAGCTGCCCTAATGTTGCCATAGAGGTCAAGAAAACTAGGTATGTTTTTTCACGTAGTCTGGAGATGGGGAGAGCAGATACCCAAAAATCTAACAACAACAAAGGAAAATGCCTTCAGAGAAGCCCATGACCTATAATTGTAGAAGTGAAGTTATTCTAGAAAAGAGATGAAGTTCTCAAGAATGAAGAAGCCCTCTGATGAAGGTAAAGGATGGGGAGTTGTAGAGAGCAGATGTGTCAAAACGTAACTCTTCTGTGTGCTCCTGAAGCAGATGAAAATATAATTGGGAAATGTTGCACAAAATAAATAAAATGAAATAGAGCACAGAAAATATTAATATGTAGTTTTCTAAGTCAATGATGCACAGATCCTTCCACAGGGTTTAGTAGTCCTGTTTCTATTTGAATTTTATACCACTAAAGATACAAATGTGGATGCACAGGGAGCTCACCAACCAGTTTTGATTAAAAAAAAACAGATGGCAATGAGGACAGGTAACAGAGCCTGGATCCCGAAATGTGGTGTGATCTTTAAAACATCGTCTGAGGAAGTTTGAAGCTCTGGAGGAAAACTAAAGATAGCAAAAAGAGGGTTTTGGTTTCTTTTATTTGAGGTTGGATTCTTTGTTCATCTGTTTTTCTCTAGCAGGAAAAAAAAATAGGAGGTTAAAGACAAGTAAGAGCGCTGGTTGGCTGGTTGGGCTAGCCAGAATAAGCTTACAATGAACAGAAAGCAAAACTACCAAACTCTAGGTTTGCTTGTTTTCTCTTCTAAGGAGAATCATATCAAGGCGGGAACAGACAGAATCAAAATATCCAGTAGAAAAATCAAACTCAAGCTGAGTGGAGAGACAGTAGGTGCATGGACCAAGCTTTTCTTGATGGATTCTGAATACCAGGTCCAATGAAAAATCAAACTCAAGCTAAGTGGAGAGACAGTAGGTGCATGGACCAAGCTTTTCTTGATGGATTCTGAATACCAGGTCCAATGAGTTGTTCTTGGCGAATTAGCAGAACGGGTGAGTGTGAATGTGAACCACTATCCATGATCTCTACAATCATAAGAGCAGCTAATGTATCTAACAGCACTTTAAGTCTTGCAAATAATCTTACATCTATTATCTCAATCCTCAAAAGAGCCCTTTGAAATAGGTTCAGTTATTAATTATTTTATACATGGAGAAATTGATACTGACAGATTAAGCAACTTCCCCAGGATCATACAGCTACTCAGTATCAGAAACAGATTTGAACTCAAGTCTTCTTCACTCTGAGTCCAGCACTCTATTCACTATACAGACAGTGAAAGATAATTGGCTTATGTGAAAGGTACTACAGAAATAGAGAAAAGAAGATTTTGCCCCATTTTAAAAAAAATGGAAGAGACTAGAGTTTGCAAAATGTAGTCTAATGAGCTTGACTGACTCCTGGAAAAAAATATAAATACATTATTAAAGGCATGGATGGTTAATGAACATCTAGATAAGGATCTGGTGCCAAGAAGAATACTTGGCATTAATGTGGCCTTTTTTGCACATTGTCTCATATGAATCTTCCTCTGACCCTGGGGAGGTAGATACTAATAATCTTCTTCATAATTTACAGATGAAAAGGGAACAGAAGGGAAGGGAAAGGAAGGGAAAGGAAAGGAAGGGAAAGAAAGGAAGTGAAGGAGAGAGAAGGGCAGAGGAGAGAAGGGGAAGGGAGGAAAGGGGAGGGAGGGAAAAGAAGGGAAAGGGAGAGAAGGGGAGGGAGGGGAGGGAAGGATTTCCCCAAGGCCACACAGTTAGTAAGTTTCTGAAGCGGGATTTAAATTCAGGTCTTCCCCACCTCAAGTCCATACTCGTGCTCTCCACTAAGACATAGTGCCTTGCCATAAACCTCACAAAAATATCTTATCAGAATGATTTCATTTTTGATTTTGACAGGTTAACTAGACTATAACTGGGGCAAAGATGTACACATTTATCTGACTATTTGTCTCACATTTGATTTTGACTCATTACTTTTGTGGACAAAAGTAACAAAGATGGGCTAGTGTAGGCTAAATAGTGGACATTTAGATAGACTTGATTGAATGGTTGGATCCACAGATTCATCTCTAATGGCTCAAAGACAAAATTGAATGAAGTCTATAATATATATGCTTTTATTATATTTATTATTATATTATATTTATTATAGCACAAATTGTAGATTTATCATGTTCACAGATGACATATGTTGGGATGGGAGGGGCAGCTATCATACTGGATGATAGACTCAAGTCAAGAAAGTTTTGTCAGGCTGGAACATTGAGCAGAATCTAACAACAATGACAATGACGTTTGATGAAGATCAATGTAAAATGTACATTTGGGTTCAAAAAATAAAGGTTACTAGTACAAGATGGAGAACAAGGAAATTCTCTAGGCAGGAGTTTGAAAAATAGTGTGGGGTTTTAGTGGGCTGAAAACTCAACTTGAGTCAAGAGAATGATGTGTCCATCAAGGAAATTACTCTGTCCTTAGAGAGGTTTAAGAGAAGTCTTGTGTCCAGGTGACAGTCATAGTCTACTGTGCTCTGGCCAAGATAAATTGGGAGTATTTCCTCCAGTTCTGGTTGCCACACCTTAACAAGCTGAGAACGTCCAGAGGGGATGCCTCTGGATGGGGGAGGGCCTTAAGATGATGTCCTGTTAGCACTGATTGAAGGAACTAGAGATGTTTAATCTAGGGAGGAGAGGACTCACTGGGCACAGAATGGCCATCTTCAAGGATCTGAAGGACTGAGATTTGGAGGAGGGAAGAAAAGAAGCATTTATCCAGTGCCCACCATGTGAGTGCCAGACACTATGTTAGGTGCATGACAAGTATCATCTTATTTGATGGAGAGTTAAGGCAGAGGTTTAGGCTTGAGCTTTTAGGTCCCTAAGACAGATCTAGAAGCAATGGGTAGGGATTGCAAAGGCTGGATTTCAGGAAAACTGTCTTAATGAGCAGAGCTGTCCATGAGGCTATCTGGGTGGTGGCTCCCAATTCAAGACATTGGCCACCTGTTGGGACTAGAGTCAATTAAAGGAAAATGTGTCAAGGACAGTTTGGAGAAGGCAGTCTCTGAGCCTGCCAACTCTAAGATTCTTGATTAATGTGATTCTTCCAGACTAGTCTGCCATTAAATACAAGTGATGCTTAAACCTTCATCAGCTCACTCTAGCTATCCATTAACCCCAAGAAAATATTAACAGGGACCAGAAGGACATAGGACAGGTACTGGGGATGGGGCAGGGAAGAAAATACAAAAAGGGAACATAAGGCATTAAGGCTAAGGGAAAATGTAAAGACTGCTTCACCATGTTCCCCAAGGCTGGCCCTTGATTCTCCCTTCCAGTCCATCTGTCTACCTCATTGACTTCAGGTAATATGACCATCAATAGGTTTGTAGCTCTCACCCACACTGAGGGTTTGTCTATTCAGATAAAACAGAACAGACATAAGTGAGCTGGTCAAGTCAGGCAAAATATCCAGAACCTTTTTTTTGGGGGGGGGGGAATCTATCAGTAATCTATCCTAGGAGACATCTTTAGATTTCATGAGGTTCAGCTTCTGGAGGAAGGGATTTGTTGTTATATGGCTTTGCCTCCCAGGCTTATAGCACAGCAATCTGTATATAGGAGGTAAACACCAAGTGAATATGATTATCCAAAATTTCTGCCCACATTCAGCCTATGGGTATAGCTGACTTGGGCCATTCTGGACTTAGAGAAGCTACAGTTTCTTCATTTCATTTCCCAACTCTTACAGACCTAGAATAATGTTCTTTAGCCCTTCTTTCTCTTTTTGAAAAACTTATTAAAAATAATGCTCAGTATTTTTGATCTTCAGAGCATCCAGAAATGTCAAATGATTCATTGGTCTCTCTAAGGAGGAGTCAGGTCATTTTTATTACTGTAGCCAGATAAAATGACTTCTAATATTTGTAGAGTCTCTTCTACTCAACTTAGAAATTGTACCCCAAACTGCATGCCAAGAGTCAGTCAGTCAAGTGCTTATGGAGCTTCTCCAATGTTGGTGACTCTGCTGCCTATTGGAAAAAGAGCTGGATTTGGTGGGTGCTGGTCTGAGTTCAAATCTCACCTCCGATTCTTGCTAGCTTTGTGATTTTGGGAAGCTCACTTGGTCCTTCTGAGTCTCAGTTTCCTTATCTGTAAGATGAAGGTGATGGAAATGGGGATCTCTAATGGCCCTTCCAGCTCTGAAACCGATGACCATCAATCTGAACTTAAGTGATAGGGCTGAATCTCAAAAGTCTCCCCTCCCCCTGCACACAGGGTCCTCTGCTGGACAACATGGGCAAACTCTGCCTTGTTAATTCCCCCTTCTTCCAACTTCCATTTACTTCCTCCTCAGTCAAAACTTCCCTGCCCTGGGGCCCCCTCCCCTCTGGGCTTATTTGTGTTACTCTAGAAATGGCCTTAAATGGTTTGATGGACTATCTTTCATGGGTTCATGAACTTCAAAAAAAAAAAACTTGAATAATTATATTTCAATATAATTGGTTTTCTTTGGAATCCTATGCATTTTTATGCACTTAACCCTGCCCCCCCCCCCCCATTCTGAGAAGGGCTCCATAGGTTTCATCACACAGATTGCAACAGGGTTCCAGGACACAAAACCTGGGATCCAGGGCCTAGACCATGTGTAGACCTGATCTTGGTAACACCTCTCTAACCTAAACTGGATTTGGGTGTCAATCCATTGATTTTCCCATTCCTTACCTTCATGTTTACAATGCTGCCTTCTTTTTTCTCCTCCAAGATCCCTCTTTGTTTTGGCCTCTAAGCATCCTGAGCTGGCACCCCGGCCCCAACGCCTCCCAGGTGTGGGGCAGTGATCTTGTCTGCAAGGCTTGACTAGCTGCTACCACTTTTAGAGCCTGTTGATAAACTGGTGAACCAGACATTGCTTGGCCAGCCTAGTGAAGGGACCTAGCTCCAAACTCCACAGCCGAATTGGGACCAGAGTTATTAAGGCTGAATATAGGGCAGCTATAAAAATGAATGGAGAAGTCAGGGCATTGTTAAAGTAATTAACCTCCCGCGCCTCTTTGCATGAAATAGACAGGTAACAGAGGCCAGAGAGGGGGTTGTTTGAAGGGAATTAGTGAGATCACTACTCTGATCTCCGCTTCACTCTATGAGTGTCTGGGATTTCCTTTTTTAACAAAATACCCTTGGCACTTGACCCAAGGGCCTGTCATCATGGATAGACTTGAAAAATCTCTGCCCCTCCTTTACTCAAGTCGCCCTAAATCTATGCCCCCCCATTTAAAAATTCTATTTGCCTTCTTAAATCATTAATTAGGCTCTCCCCACATGATTCTATTATTAGATTTTGACTAATCCAGGATTTCTTCAAGGCTCCAATAATGGTTTTGATCCTTTGACATTTTGAATGCCAAATTAAAGCCCTCTTGTTATTTACTTACATTTCATTTTCTTCACAGGTGGGATCTGGGCTCACCAGCTGAAACAGAGATTTATAACAATAAACACTGAGCATCTTATCAGCCTAATCCTCTTCATCCAAATGGTGTCTGGAGACAAATGTGGGCTTATTGAGCTTGTTTTGTTTTTTAATTAAAAGCTCTGGAGAAGCAGAGCACTTTGAAAGAGAGTAGAATTCCAAATGAAGAAAGAACATCTCTGGTTGTTTTCTTCTGGTACTGTACAAGGAAAGGATGTCTATTTCCCACTGAATCCCCATTTCACTCCTTCTCCCAGGTACAGGCTGGGGACTGGGGATTGATTCAAAGGTCGTCTCTGGCTCCAGGTAGATTTTGTCTTTAGACATGAGTTGGAAGCTCAAGGATGGTGGTGGTGATGGTGGCATGTTACAATCCTCTCTTTGTTTCACAGATTGACTTTCCAATTTTTTTCAAAGGTCTTTGTGGTAAGGATTTGTTATTTGACCGCTATCTGCCTCAGTTTCCTCAACAGTAAAATAGAGATAAAAACACCTACTTCACAGCGTCGTCATGAGGATCAAGTGTTATATTAATTCTAAAGCTCTTGGCATGGTGGCTGGCACAACCTCTGGTTAGACCAGTTCACCCTCTCTGGCTACCCAGTTTGAGACAGGCCATTTAGCTGAGGCATATATGTATACATATATATTACTAATCCATAGTTTTTAAATCCATTGTTTTGGAGGATGCTAGGTATAGAATTGGAACAGGCCTAGAAAGCCTTCAGTCCATGGCCATCGTCTTACAGAGGAGGATACTGAGGCCTAGGGAGAATGGTCTTGCTCAAGGTCATACAGGTGTCAGGCAAAGACTAAACCAGGATTAATCACCAAGTCCTGTTTCCAAATCTTTGGGGAGTTCTTCCCACTTTCTAGTCTATCCTGCCCAGAAACATAGATACATGCAATCTTCCTCAACAGGCATGAAGTGTTTACACTGTGGAATGAACCTTACCCGCCTATGAAAAAACCCCTTCAAGGAGTTTCCATTTGAAAGGGGGAGACAGGTACCCATGTAAGTGTGTGCAGCCTGCCTTCCTTTCACTATGTCCTCTGGGCACTGTTCAGCATATGTCCTTGAGGGTTGAAAGCAAAATCAAATCAAATCAAATCACACATTCTGAATTTCAGAATCTAACCCAGATTGGAGTGCATCCAGTTTTGTAGAAGATCCCCACTGCCCGGCAGAACACTAAAGTAGCCATCTTCAGAAATGTAACAAGCATAGGTGACCCAGGGCTTTGCCTAATATCTTGTTTGGGAGTTGGGGACAATAAGACTGTTCTCTGGGTCCACTACCATTACCATACATCCCCCATTCATCCTCTGTCCAGCTGGCTTTAGCATTGCTGTAGGAATCGCTAGCAGCACCTCTGGTTAGACCAGTTCGCCATCTCTAGCTGCCCAGTTTGAGACAGGCCATTTAGCTGAGGCTTAGCCCTTTTGGGAGGTCTTTGCTTGGGCTGAGGTATTTGATTGGTTCTGCTAGGGAAGGGCCACCAGTGGCAGTTTGCTCATTGAATCAATGAGAGTCTCATGAGTTAAAAGCCAGGCCCAGGAGTGCCCTCTTCAACGTCCATGTGGTGTGAAAGCTACTCTGTACACAGCCCTAAGGGCATCTCTCTGTCCCTATCATCAGTCCCTTTGCATCTCTGTTTAATTCCACAAGTTTCATGTAGCACAGAGATCTGTGGAGGTACAGATGGAGAACTGAATGAGCCATCAGAGGACATGGTAATGAACAATTTATAAGCAGAGAAAATGAGTTACCTTCCATTTTGTTCAGCCATTGCAAGTCGGTTTGCATACTAATCGAGATGAAAATGAACCTGCAAATGTTGTCTGTACAGGGGTTTATTTATGGGCTGAACTAATCGTTGGGAATCAGGCTGAACTGAGAGGACCACCACGTCTCAGGGCTCTCCTCACCTATACAACCTGCTCTGACTGATACATGTTGCAGAGGTGAGCAGTGCATACCCCTACATTATCAGCGAGAAGCCAGCAAACCTCCCAGCCATTCTCAGCCTTAGGGAGGGTGATGTTAGCAGGCAATTCAGAACTGACCCCATTTATCTGGTGTTTTGGTTCAGATATTTTAGTGTGGAGATGCTGACATTTATCAGAATAATTCTTTTTTTTTCTTTTGTATCTCTGGTGCCTAGTGCAGTGCCCAGAGTATAAGTGCTGAACATGAAGGTTGATTGATTGATAGATGGATGGAACCAGAAGGAATAATAAGAAGGCAAACAGTTCCTCATGTGTATCTGGGGATGGCATTTCATGTTTCTAAGCTCACAAGATTTGAAATAATTTGAGAGCTAGAAGGTATCTTAGAGGATAGCCGATACAATTTGCTCAATTTCCAGATGAGGAAACTGAGGCCCTAGCTTTGAAGTGTGACTCTGGACAAGTCTGGAAAAGTCACTTTTCCTCTCTGGGCCTCAGTTTCCTCATCTGTATGAAAGTTTTGGGCTCCGCAGGCTCCTTGGTCTCTTCTAGCTCTGAGGCTGAGATTCTGCGATCCTATGAATTGTCCCAGCCGAGAGGGGGCTCTACCCCCTCGAACTCCAAATCAAGAGAAGAGACTTAGCCATCCAGAGCTGGAAGAGAATATAGGAGCTATCTAATATCCCTTCCTCTCAGTTTACAGAGGAGGAAACTGAGGTCCAGAGACCTCATGTGACTTTCTTAGAATCCCAGAGATGGCAGAATTGGTATGTAACCTGGGCCCTCTTCTCTCTCTCCCTCACCATCCTATTCACATTACATCTTGGGCTTAAGATCCTATGAATAAGTTGATTTAAAAAAAATGTTCCTGGCATTTAATCAGAGCGATGTAATTTCACTTCTAAAGGAATAGAGTTAATGAAAAGAGGAGGTGAGGCGGAGAAGTAATATAGGTATAATGGATACATATTTCATGGTTCTTTCCTGTCCCAGCTAAAGTAAAAATGCCTAACAAGTTTGCTACTTTTTTTCTAGAAAATTGTTGACAATTAAATTATTCAAAGGATAAAGAAGATAAGCTGTGCCTAACCCTCAAGTCTGTTCCCGGAGGAGAGATTTTACCTGGAAGAGCATCAAGCCCACGGCCCCAGTCCTCGGGAGCAGTGAGGTGAAACGTGCCCCTTTGGGTAGCCACATGCCGATCAAGGAAGCTCCTGGGCTGGCTGGATGCTTGGTGGTCGAGCGTGTCTTCCCAGGCTGCAGAATGCAGGTGTTGCTCTCTGGATCGTGCTCCGTGCCTGGCATGTGTTAATGATCTCTGCTTGTGACTGGCAAATTATATGGTTGGGGAAAGAATGCTAGCTGCCCTCACACACTCCAGCAGGCACTGGAGTCCGAGGAATGTTCATGTAAAGGTCAGGCCCTTGGCAATGTGGATGCTGGCCCTTTGCAGCAGGGGATTGTGAATGATGACCTGAAAGGCAGCCAGGCATCCAAAGGCCACAGCAGGAGCTGCTCTGCCCTTTAGTCATGGATCCTGCCCTCTTTTCAGTGGCACCTCTGTTTGATTTTGTTCTCCCCAGTCAGAGTACTGTCCTTCTTGCCTCCAAGCTGCCTTAGCTGTACAGTAGACTTGGCATCAGAAGGGGTCTTCAAGTCCCCATAGATACCCACTGACTGTGTGACCTTGGGCATATTGCTTTTCCTCCTAGTCTCAGTTTCATCTCCTATAAAATGAGGATAATGATATACCTCTAGTTATTACCCACAAATCAAGAGATAATGTGTATAAAATGCTCTAGGAATGTTGGTTATGATTCTCCAAATCCCCACCATGCTGCAAGCAACTCAAATGTTTCCTTCCTTGCATTGCCTTCTCCAGGGGCCCCAGTAAACCTTGATCTAACCTGGTTCTGAACCCTGAGCATGATTGAGAGCTAGAAGGAACCATTCCCTATTTCTCTGAATGGCCCATGCATGTTAGTCCAGACCAGCTCCCTGCCTCTGTGTGCTAAAATCAGATGACAAAGGACAATTTTATTTTTTTTACATCAGGTCTGTCGGTAATTCTCAACCCTGACAAGCCACCGAGGCACATAGACCTCAATTTCAAAAGGAGGCATTGGATGAGATCTAAGGTCTCTTTCTGTGTTGAGATTCTGGGACACGAGCAAGGAGTCACAAGCAACTCGTTGGAGTAGAGAACTTGGAAATGCCATTACTCTATATGTATGTGTGGGTATGCATGATGCATTTGTGTGTTATTCCATTTTTTCTCTAAGAAAAAGTGTGACAGTACTCAATAATCATCTTACAGTCAAATCTTTTATTTGGAGTCACAAGGCCTGTGTTTGAATCCAGGCTCTGCCACTTAGCCCTGCAGCCCTTAGTTTCCTCTTCTATAAAAGGAGTGGGTTGCACTAGATGATCTTTGAGGCCCGTTCCAGCCTTAGCGCTACTATCCTGCCACCTCCAGCTCTAAATTTATGTCCCTATAATTCTGAGGATTATTCTGGGCACGGAGCAGAAACTCACTAACTTGACTGTAATTTGTGGGGAGGTGGCTTCTCTCCTAGATACAACCCAGGGAAGACTTGTTTGGTTGGATGTCCCGGACAGCTGACTGGAATTCAGAGATTGTAGCTGTATGCATTGGGTCCAGGCTCTTCTTCATTCTCTGGAGAGGCCTGTTGTGGTTGCCAGTCTAGGTTCTCAAGATCATAGGACTAAACTTCTCTTCCAGCCTTCAGATCATGTAATGAGTGAGCTCCTCAGGGAAAGCTAGGACTTTTTCTCCTTTAGTCATTAAATGGCCATTCTCAATGGTTAAGGTGACCAGCTGGGTGTGCTGCAGAGGGACAGCTGAAATAGATGGTGTAAGATGAACAGACTGATGAGTTCAACCTTGGTCAACTTCATTTGCACATCAAGTCAGAACTGCCGCTGGATCCACCCAGGCAGTAGGAAATACAGGGAAGACCAGTCTTCAATGGGAGATTCCCAACTCTTCCATTTTCCCTTTCCCTTTCTTTCTTCCCTTCAACTCTTTCACACCCTCCCTGGGAAGGACCTCCTAGAATCCATCCGGACTTGACTTCTCAGATTGCTTGTCACCAACTCTTTTCTTCTTGTGGGATGGAGGATTATGGAGCCTTACCATCTGCCCTTCAATTACAACCTTAGGACAATCTGGGTCTTTCCATGCCTTCTTTCACTGGACATTCTTTTATATGTTATCTCCCCCCGTTGGAGTGTGGGAGTAACTATTTCATTTTTTCTATTAGGGTCTCCAACACTGAGCACATGGTAAGCATTTGATAAAGGATTTTTCATTCATTTATTTAAGGAGGATATAATAAGCAGATCAATAGAGTCTGAAGATTTCACTGGCCCCAAGACTCACTCCATTTTGAAAAGATGCACATCTAGTAATTGAACAAAAGAGAAGGTTAAAGGCCCAAATTTTCAAGTGAACTCACTCATTATGTGATCTGAAAGATAAAACCTAGGAAATCTACATTAGAAATCACAAGAGGCCTTTCCAGGGAATAACAATGATGATAATAATAATAATAACAACAACAACAATATTTTAATAATAATGAGTATTTATATAGCGCCTTAAGGTTAGCAAAACACTTTATAAATATTTCATTTTATCCTAATAACGACCCTTAAAAGCAGGTATTATTATTATGTCCTTATTACAGATAAGGAAACTGAGGCAGACAATATTTATGTTACTTGGCCCAGGGTCACACAATTGGTAAATGAAACTGAATTCAGACTTAGGGTTTCTTGACTTCAGAACTTGAGTCTTAGGTCTTCTTGGCTCCCTATCCACTGCACTCCCTATCTGGTGAAGGGGAGTCCCAAGAAGATGTGAGGACAGAGGAAATGTAAGGTAGTAAGTGTCTGGTATAGCACAGCTATTAAAACAGAACAGAATTGGGGGATTCAGGAAAACTGGATCCATTGGTTGTTGTTATTCCTTCATTCTTGAGGAGGACCATGCCATCAGGGAAGTGATCTTGGGGCGTACAGGCTAGATTTCTTTCTTTAGGATCATGCTTTGAACCTAAACCACTCTGGTTTCCAATGACTGGCCAACAACAGGTTCTGGGCCAAGCCCTACTTGATCGTTGTTTGGGCCCTAACTGGCTCAGGGTAAATGTAAATAACAATTGTTTCTGTTTTGGATTCATTGGACCTTGATTCAGAAGATCCAGTTGGAGTTCTGGACTTCTGCACCTATTTTGAACTCTGTGGAGTTAACCTCTTCCTCTCAGTGCCCTTGTCTGGGAGGATGGGGTTGATGATTCTTGCACTGCTCACCTTACAGGGTGAGGTCAGGACCTTTGAGAATTTTGCCACTGTGAAATGGCAGATGCCTTTCATCTTCACTTAGAGCACTGAGATTCATGGAAACTGAGCACTAGAGAGGAAGGGTGTGCCAGTGAGATTTGAATTTGGAAACTGGATTTGTCTTCATAAAATCTCAGGGTTGGAAGGAAACTCCTCAGTCACCTTGTGCAACCCCACCCTGAATAATGATTTATCTGCCAAGGGGTCCTCCAGTTCTTGCTTGAAGACATGCAGTGAAGGACTTCTCACACCCCATCCCGACACACACAGCCTATTCGGCCTACAGAGTTCTCTAATTGGGATGGTTGTCTTTATGTTCAGCTTAAATCTAACACTTTGCAAATTCCATCCATCTGAGCACTCATTAGCTATACACACATAGGTAAGTCACTTAGCATCTCTAAACCTCAGTTTTCCCATCTATAAAATGAGAACATTTGGGGGATAGCCTATCATATTGTTTACCTGAGCTGAATTTGTAAGCCATTTAAACCTGTGGGTATTTTGCCCATTACATTCTTTTTTGCTCCATCTGATACTTGTGAGGATGATTTTTTGACACCAAGTGAACTACTTTATATTTTTCCCTATAAAAATTCATTGTATTTGAATTCACTAGGCCGTGTACATATGTGTATATATGTTTATAGACTATATATGTGTGGGCATAACATATTTGTATGTATAGATATGTATATATACTTATGTATATATAAATATATGTATACCTGTTCCTATCATTCAATATATTAGCTATCCTTTTGAACTTTAAAAAATATGTTTATATATATATATATATATATATACACATTACATAAGCATACATCTATACCTTTATTCCAATCATTAATAAAAATGTTAAATTGCATAGGAACAAACACAGATACCTAAGGCATTTGCCTCCATTCTAGTTTGACACTAAAACAAAAAATCTATATTGACATCTTTTGTCTTTACATCATCTACATTTCTTAGTATATGCTTTATCTTACATATGCCAGGGAACCATCTCTTATAATAAAGAATAAAAAAGGGGAAGGTAGATAGAGGATAGTTGGATTGATGGATGAATAGATAGATAACTAGTTAGGAGAAAGAGATGGAGAGAGAGAGAGAGAGAGAGAGAGAGAGAGAGAGAGAGAGAGAGAG